CTGTTCTCCCTTTTTATTCTGTGCTAATCGACGAGTTAGGGCATATATCTATTTTACTTATTTACAAATCGCCCCCAAAAAAGTCTTGTAAATTGTGAAATTACCCACGAACGTGTTCTGCTGTTAAAATTTTTTTTTAAAAAAGGGACACTCTCTTCTGCGTGTCGGACACGTGTCAACCGCGTGTCCGTGTCCAACACTAGTACGGAGCCCTCGAAGAGGTGTTCGTGCTTCATAGAGAAAAAGTATAAGTGTTATCACCCTCCATCTCATAAGTGGTTTGTCTCCATGGATGTCACTTTCTTTAAGTTTCAATCTTATTTCTTGTCATGTTCGGTGTCTCAGTCATTCCTACAGGGGGAGCCTTGGTATGAAGGGATTCCTATTCCTATTTCTGTTCCTGTTGCACCTAGACCCAATGATACTACCAATGTAGAATCTGACGTCATCAAGGCCAAGGGAGGGCAAGACTATGCTAGAGACCAAGAAAGGCAGAAAGTTACTTGGATGCAAGACGCTAGTTCTAATCATCCACTCTTGTCTCCTTCTTTTGATGAGAGTGCAAGTAACCCTTGTGTTCCCCTTGAGTCCACTGATATTGCTATTCCTGAGCCTACTGACCTTGATATACCTATTGCTAAACGAAAGGGTGTAAGATCTTGTACTCATCATCCTATCTCTTTGTATCCTATTCTCATTTGTTTTCCTCCTATAAAGCCTTTGTGTTAAAAATTTTCTTTGTTAGTCTACTTAATTATTTTCAAGATGCTCTTGCTATCTCTGAGTGGAAACTTGCCATGGTAGAGGAAATGAAAGCACTTCATAAGAATGACACTTGGGATTTGACTAAATTACTTCGGGGCAAACGAATTGTGGGATGCAAATAGGTGTATACTGTGAAGCACAAGGCAGATGGTTCAATTAAGCGATATAAGGCTCGACTTGTGGCAAATGGTTTTACTCAGACCTATGGGGTGGATTATCAAGAGACATTTGCTCCAATTGCAAAGATGAATTCAATCAGAGTACTTCTCTCTCTGGCAGCTAATCCGAATTGGCCACTTCATCAGTTTGATCCTGCATGGTGACCTAGAAGAGAAGATGTATATGGACATTCCTTCTGGCTTTGAAACTCTTCAAATTAAGGGTAAGGTGTGTCGACTTTAGAAGTCATTATATGGCCTCAAACAGTCCCCTAGGGCTTGGTTTGAGATGTTCACTCAGGTGATGCTAAAATATGGCTTCAAACATAGTTAGGCTGATCATACTTTGTTTGTTAAACACTCCTCTCATGGTAAGACTACCACTCTCATTCTATATGTGGATGACATAGTGCTTACAGGAGACGATGTTGAGAAAATCCTTTTATTGAAGAAGTATTTGGCAAGGGAGTTTGAAATCAAAGACTTGGAAAACCTGAAGGAAACAGGGATGCCTCGAAGTAAAGCCTGTGACACACTACTAGAGCCTAATTAGAAACTTAGTGATGATAGTGGGGGAGCAGCTGTGGATAGGGGGAGTTATTAGAGACTAGTGGGTAAGCTCATTTACTTATTTCATTCTTGTCCTGATATTGCTATTGTTGTTAGTGTAGTTAGCCAGTTTATGCATGCTCCTCATGAAATACACTTGGAGGTAGTTATGAGAATCTTGAGATACTTGAAATCTTCTCCTAGAAAGAGTCTTTATTTTTCCAACATGATCATCTAAGTGTGAAAGCTTATACAAATGCTGATTGGGTAGAATCGGTAATTGATAGGAGGTCCACTTTAGGGTATTATACCTTTGTTGGAGACAATTTGGTTACTTGGAGAAGTAAAAAACATAATGTGGTTGCCAAGTCTAGCGCAGAAGTTGAGCTATGGCACAAGGTGTATATGAGCTCTTGTGGATCAAGGTGTTATTGAGTAATCTGGGAATTGACCAGACAGACTCCATGCGATTATATTGTGATAATAAAGCTTCCATCAACATGGCTCACAATTCGGTTCAACATGACAGAATAAAGCATATTGAGATTGATCATCATTTCATCAAAGAGAAGCCCATTAGTGGCACAATATGTGTTCATTTTGTGAAGTTTGGTGAACAACTTGCAGATATCCCCACCAAGGGACAGGGCCAGCCCTGGGCTAAAGCCATTGAGGCCAGGGCCGGCCCTGAGTTTTCGAGGGCCTAAGGCAAAATAATTTTTCGGGGCCTTTTAGATATTCATAAAAATAAAAATAAAAATAAAAATCACCTTGTTTGGTTTAGAATTTTGAAAAATAATTATTTGAGTTTGCAATTCGTATTTTTTTATATTTTTTGTGTTTGGCAACTTTGTTTTTGTTTTTTTAAAAAAAAATACAAATATTATAGTTTTTAAGTGTATCTAAATTAGATGTATCTACAAAATAAATAAATAAAATTGCGTAAAATATTTAAAAACCACTAAAAAACACATAATTGGGCTATAAAAAGAGAAGAAAGAAAAATAGGCCCCACAGACATATACATATATTTTATTTTTTATTTTTTTAATTGGGCTAACAACTAACACTTATAAATATTTTTTAATTGGGCCTTTTATCAATTGGGCTAAATAGAACTTTTGAGGCATTTTAAAATGGCCTAAATTAGTTAAACAAATTTAGGCCATTTTGAATTTTTGGATATAAGATAATGAATTTGGGGGCCTTTTTTTGGGCCTAATTTTTGGGGCCCTAGGCATAGGCCTCAATGGCCTCAGCCCAGGGCCGGTCCTGATTGAAGCCTGTGCCTAGGGTCCCAAAAATTAGGCCCAAAAAACGGCGCCCAAATTCATTATCTTATACTATATCAAAAATTCAAAATGGCCTAAATTTGTTTAACTAATTTAGGCCATTTTAAAATGTCTCAAAAGTTCTATTTGGCCTAATTGATAAAAGGCCCAGTTAAAAAAATATTTATTAGTGTTAGTTGTTAGCCCAAATATAAAACAAAACATATGTATATGTCTGTGGGGCCTATTTTTCTTTCTTCTCTTTGTATGACCCAATTATGTGTTTTTTAGTGGTTTTTAAATATTTTATTTATTTATTTTGTAGACACATCTAATTTAGATACACTTAAAAACTATAATATTTGTACTTTTTAAAAAACAAAAAAAAGTTGCCAAATACAAAAAATATAAAAAAATACAAATTGCAAACTCAAATAATTATTTTTCAAAATTCTAAACCAAATAGGGTGATTTTTATTTTTATGAATATGAATATCTAAAAGATCCCGAAAAATTATTTTGCCTTAGGCCTTTGAAAACTTAGGGCCGGTCCTGGGCTAAGGCCATTGAGGCCTGTGCCTAGGGCCCCCAAAAAAGGCTTCCAAATTCATTATCTTATACTATATCAAAAATTCAAAATGGCCTAAATTTGTTTAACTAATTTAGGCCATTTTAAAATGCCTCAAAAGTTCTATTTGGCCCAATTGATAAAAGGCCCAGTTAAAAAATATTTATAAGTGTTAGTTGTTAGCCCAATTAAAAAAATAAAAAATAAAATACATGTATAAGTCTGTGGGGCTTATTTTTCTTTCTTCTCTTTTTATGACCCAATTATGTGTTTTTAAAATATTTTACGCAATTTTATTTATTTATTTTGTAGATACATCTAATTTAGATACACTTAAAAACTATAATATTTGTACTTTTTAAAAAAAAAAAAAAAAGTTGCCAAATACAAAAAATATAAAAAAATACGAATTGCAAACTCAAATAATTATTTTTCAAAATTCTAAACCAAACAGGGTGATTTTTATTTTTATTTTTATGAATATCTAAAAGGCCCCGAAAAATTATTTTGCCTTAGGCCCTTGAAAGCTCAGGGCCGGCCCTGCAAGGGAGTTCGGAGTAAACTTTTGGGGTACTTACGTGTAGGTTCTAATAAGTGGACTTATTGTCTAATAGGTCCTATGGGCAAAAATTTGTTATAAAAAAAAGTCACTAATTGTAAGTTTGAGCGACAATTTATAAAAATCATGAAAAAAAAAGTCACTAATTATCAATTTTTAGTGACATATATAAAAAATTGTTACAAAAAAATTATTTTTAGCGACAATTTTACCAAAACTTATTTTCAATAGGACTTGATGAGAATTAAGTCCAACTATTAGGATCTATTGGTAGTTTACCCTAGACTTTTTCATGAGATTCTTGGCAAGCTGGGCATGAGAGATAGATATCTTTGCACCAGCTTGAGGGGGACTGTTAGAATATATGTTCGGATTACTCTATTATTTGTTTCCTTATTTAGATTATATGTTTGATTCCTTCCTTGTAATCTTCTTGGGTTAATTAATATAGAAGGGGTGTGACATCATTATCAACCCTAAGTTTTGATTTCCCTAAGCAAACAGGGTTCGTTGAATTTTTTTTTAATTTTTTAAAACATATCATTGGTGTTTGCTTTGCTTCAATGAAGTTCTCGCTTCACGCTTGGACCTTAGGTGGCCAGCCTTGGTTCGTTTTTGGCCTTAGATCCGACTTACACACTGTGATGTGATTCATGGACCCAGGTCCATGCATCGGGTTTGGGTTTGTGTTTGTGTTTGTGTTTGTGTTTGTGTCGGATTCATCTGTTACTCAAGTTGAAGAACACAGAGATACAACTAAGAAAGTTAGTCTTTATATGCCACATTGATCGTTAAGGATTATATGTACTACTACATACTAAACTAAACTTACCAACCATGCTTGCTTCGCCAATGCCCAACTAGACACGTTGGATACTTATCCCATATCCTTTTGCAAACACAATGTTTGACATGGGCAGTTAGAACTATTCAGGATTATTAGAATAGGCAACGTTTTCTTGAAATTATTCTTGTAGTGGCTGATTTTTGGTCTGGTATGGATGAATTATTTTTAATTATTTCCTTGGTGATGCACATTTTATACATACAAGAAAGGGGAGAAAAGAAGGATAGTGGAGTTGTGGTTGGTTGTAATTTCTTAAAGCAGTTTCTTTCTTCCTGGTTGACAGCAATACCACTTTCTGAGGATCATAAACCAAATAGAAGTGATGAGCGGAAAAGAATTGAAAGTGCAGGAGGTGTAATAATGTGGGCAGGTAAGACTTCATGTATATATCCAGTCTTTTTTATTCAAGAATCTGCAATTCTGTTGTACACTTGTATGTTGACTGTGATGAGATCTCTTTTTATGTCAAAATCAACTGATGTGTCAGGACTGGGGCAATATTAGATGGGGTCTTAGCTTGTAATTTTAGTTTGTTGAATAAATGGGATATGTATGTTTGTACTTTTTTTGGGGGGAGTGGTCATAGAAGCATGAACTTCCAATTGAAGCTTCTTTATATTATTTTCAAGATTTCTGATAGTGATGACTATTCTACACATGGGTGGAGTCCATATATGGACCTTTCTTTTCTAGCTGTGCAATCATGTAGTTGCTCAGATATTCTCATGCTTAAGAGGCTCATTTTTTGTTCTGTAATCAGTGCAATCTCTGGGACTTTAAAATTATGGCAATTCTGAGAATGAGATTAGAGATGGACACAGAAATGTTTGGGATGGGGTGACTGGACCTGCATTGTGATTGAAGTGATCCGAGTCTACCCAGCTGAACTTGTCTCAAACCAGAACTTGGATAGGGCATCCAGGCTTGAGAATCTCATTCAACCATCCCAAAATTTACTGTCTTTTTTAGTCTATGCAGTATCTATGAGTATGAATGAATGGTAGAAAAGTATCCATTTATGGAGCGAGGCCAGTAGATGTATCTGTATTTGTAACCCCAATTTTTGTACGTATCAAGGTAATAAGATAATATATTATATCAATAATATTTGGCGCCTTGAGTTTAGCAATGTAAGAACGTTGTGTTGATTCTCTTTCAGGCACTTGGAGAGTTGGGGGTGTCTTAGCAATGTCCCGTGCTTTTGGTAACCGTATGTTGAAGCAATTTGTTGTGGCAGAGCCTGAGATCCAGGTAATCTTTTGAAACCATCTAATTTATTAGCGTTAATTTGTTTTATGTTTTTTCTTTTTTAATGTACTTTGAGGTTAGGTTTCTTAGTAATTCCTTGTATATCTTACTTATACTTTTTGTTGCTTATCAATTAACATTAGTGAATATAATGTTAAAGAAGACCAGAAGTCAGTAAAGACAAAAATAGGTCATTTTCTTTATCCAAGAAACCTCAAACTCTTCTGAAACATGAGGAATAAAATGGTATTTTTTCCCCAAATGGTGTTTTCCCTCCCAAATACAATTGGTTGCAGTAGCAAGGTTTTGAATCCCGTGTATAATGGGCAAATCTTAGTAGCGAGAATCGCAGTAGTTGCTCACGAATCAGCCAAAGAAGCGATCCTGCACTTCTGAGGAAGAATTGGAGATGAATCGCGAGTTTGATGTGAGAGAAGCGCGAATCTGAGAAGAGAAGGAACTGATCATCCTCACTCTCGACCTCAATCTCTGTGTCAATCGTCTGTCTGTCTTCGATTCTGTCTGTCTTCTCTCTCTCTCTCTCTCCTTCTCTCTCTCTCTCTCTCTCTCTCTTGCCTCCTCTTTCTCAATCCTGTCGTCTCTCGATCTCGTCTCTTCTCGAGATTGATCTATCTCCTCCTCCTCCTCTTCTCTCTCTCTTTCCTCTTCTTATGTCTTCTATCTTTCTTCTCCTCCTCTGTCTCTCTCTCTCTCCTTTTATTTTATTTTTTTAAGAAAATAAATAAAACAAATAATTTTAACAACAATATTTTAAAATAAATAGATAAAAAAGGTAATAAAAATACTTTAGAATAACTGAATTTTTTTTAAATAAATGTATATATTTCCATTATCATTAGGGAAAAAAAAAATAATCTTACAATATATTTTTTTAAATTATTTAAAATATATACAAACGTTCCCAACCAACGATTCTTGAAATGTAAATGATTCCCGCTCCTGCTTCTAATTTTGTTTCGTGCAACTAAGGGGGGCAAATCATACCCTTGGATGAAAACCAAATAACGCTGTTATCTTGGATTTTGGCCGCTAAAAGAACATTTGGGCATTATTTTGAATTTTTTAATCTACTATTATTTTTTGTTAGTTCATTAGTTCAATTTCAGCATATTGCCATTATATCCATTTTTTTAACAGAAACATTTAAACTTTTCTGTATTTTCAATGTTCTTAAAATATATTTTAGGGCATAAAAAGTACACCCCAGTTTAGTCCCCATTGGTTATGAGTTTGAGAGTGGTAGATCGGGCACAGACCTAACTTTTGACATAACATGTACAAAGTGGGCTGCCCTGAGGTTCAAACCCACAACCTTGAAGGTTGATAGTTATAATCACTGAGTCAGTGGCCCCTACTTTGTACTAAATTAATTATGATGTAATAAATACATGTTAGTTTTTTTTTTTTTTAGTTTGTGTTTCTATATTGGTTGTGATTCGCACGTTTTCTGGAAACTCTCAACATAAAAAAAAAAACGAGACGATATATCATGCGTATATTGTTGATGTTCAAAACAATAATTTTATAGAGATATTGTTCATCTTGTTTACTATATTTTCAACACCAAAGGTAGCCTAGCCTCATCTATTACCAAGGTTTTACTATATTTTGTGATATCTCACTGTTTTGTAAAACCATGCTACGTAAGTTAATTTGGAGAAGTACTCCCAATATCGGGAATTAATATATTGGCTCCTTGGTGGCCAGCTTAACAATGCAATTGCTCCGCTTCTCTGGGCTAGTCCACATGGCTCTAGTTCTTATTTTTGTTTGTCCATTGCCAAACTCTCCGGTATATTGTATCATCTAATTGTCAAATGGTGCTCTCTCATTATCTGATGAGGGTTTTATCTCTGATTCTGTTCTTCCTCATCTTGCCAACTAACTGTTCATCTTCCCATTTTTTGTCAAGCCATTTTCTTCTGGTTATTTCTTTTTTGAAGTAGCCCTGATTCTATGGGGGCTGGGGCAAGGATGGTGGTATGCCCATTCCATTCCCCCCACCCAAAAAAGAAAATATATGAAAACGATTGGCTTTACCCAATGAATAATACTCACTTTAACCAGTTTGAGCCACTTCCCTGCCGCCACCCGCCAGTATATAAAGTCATCTACCAAATAAAAATTGATGTTAACATGAGTCTTCACCCAATGAATAATACTGACTTCAACCAGTTCGATTATCTCATTCCACGCACAGGTTGAACCCCATTAAAGATAAGCTAGTTTTCCATAAAGACCAAATCACAGCTGGTGGCACCAACTCCAAAAATAAGGTTTTTGACCTCAAATGTACAAAATCAAATAATTCATGGATTGTTGAAGGCGATACCAAATCCATGCCCTCCACCTCATACTTTCAGAGAACACTGACCAAAGTAAATGATTCCCAAATTCATTTTCTTTACCACAGAAATGACAACAGCCAGCACCTTGATTGGATATAATGTTTCTTTTTATCAATAAATCAGCAGTAGCTATTTGATTCTACATTACCAACCAATCAAACACCTAAACTCTTGGTGGAGCAATACTTTTCCAAAATAAACATAGCAGTGAAAGAAGAAATGTGCAGTAAATTCTCATATATTAAGTAAAACGATCTGATGGAAAACATTCCTGAAAGATTAGCTTTCCAAACCAAGTTATCACTACGATAAGTCCTGGTATGACCATTCTGTTGCAAACAAAGTAACAAATTCTGATTCTGCTTCTCTTCTCATGCAAATAACTTTCTTCTATGATGGATGACCCACTTTACACCAGCAATTTGAATAAATTCATACAAAAAACCTTTCTTGGCAATTGATAGCAAAAACTATCTTGGGTATATTAGCCTCGGTGGTCTGTCTGTGATGCAGGGATCATCGCAATATTCTTTAAAAATGATTTGGACAGAACCTCGTTTTTCCTTTTATCAGAAACAATGCCTTTCCGTACAATTGAAAGTTTTTTGTAGTTACTCTCATCAAGGAGGTAAAATGGATTTTGCCCAAAATTTTATCCAATGGCAATAATGGTATTTGTTTATAGCTAGGTCTTAATAGAAAACTAGGTTTTTATTTTTATTTTTATTTTTATTATCGTGATATGTTTGCCATTTTCATGAAACTCCTACACTTTATGTCAGACAAAAAAAAATGTACTATGAAGCACGAATCCTTCAAAAAGGGTGACGTATCTGTATCAGATACCACTACTCCTTAGATACTCGTGTATATGTATCAAATACTAAATAAAAAATTCGGATACTTCTTAATTAAATTTTCATTAATTTTTGAGTATCAGATACTTATTGAAGCATCGGATATTCCAAGTCACGTATTACTTCTTTTACAAAATTAGAATTGTAGCATTTCTTACATACCATTATAATATAACATAATATAATTGCAAGGATAAATATAAAAATATTACTTTGTTTTGTTTTTTTGATAAGAACATATTGAGTTAAAGTAATAGAATTTGTCAAATTGATGTATCTTTATTGTTTCATGCATGTTCCCTATAACTATATAGAAAGTGATGATTAACATGAGAATATAACAATAGGAAAATTAGATAAGCAAGTAAACATGAATATAACATTTTTTTTACTAGTGCCAAAGGGAAAAGCATACAGACAAGTTGTGGATTATTCTATTATTGTAATATAAACATATTAGATTTAATATTGAAATGAAATATTTGCAAAGACCTATTGAAAATTTAGTAGGTAAATAAGTTACTGTGACTTAAATTAATACCTAATTCTTAAAGGTTAATATCTTGCATTATAAAATTACAGTGTGATTTCTCGACATTCTTTAGTTTATAAAAAATGTTTTTTTTTTTTTTTTACAAACGTATGCTACCCGTACCAGTATCTATTTCTTTAGGATTAGTCATATCACGGTATCGATATCGGTATCGTATCCGTATCTATATGTTGTATCCATATCTGTATCCATGCTTCCTAGCGGATGGACAAGTTTTGTGAAATAGTGGATGGTGTGCAGAACACCTGTAGTTAAGTGTGTATTTCATTAGCTGTGGAGTTTTTCCTTGTTTTTCAAGTTCATGATAATGAATTTCATGAAATTTTCACATTTTTTTTCAGGATCAAGAGATTGATGCAGAATTTGAATTGCTTGTGCTTGCAAGTGATGGGCTGTGGGACGTGGTTCCGAATGAGGTAAAAACCATCCTTTGATCAATGATGATAGTAATGTTCTTTGATTATCGTTAAAAACCTACAAGTTTCTCAAAATATGCTCGCAGTCCAACATTTGTTAAGACTTTCTCTCCATTTGGATTTAGGTTCCGTTTAGATTTGAGGATTTGAAATCTAGGCTTGAAATATTTTACTACATTTGGATGAGCACATAACATGAGTTTCAAATCCAACCAAGCACAAGGGCTTAATCACCAAAATATGAGGATTTGAAATAACACCTAGTTGGGCATTATTTTAAATCCCACTCCTTTGTGATTTTCTGTTTGATGCAACACAACAATGAAGAAATGGCCAGTGCTCTTTTCCACTTGCATAATAATTTACTTGTCTTATTTTTTTGGTTCTTCATATATACATGTATAATATAACCATTTTTATACACTCACATAAAAATTCACCAAATTTCAAATCTTTATGTAATTTCTTATCCAAACAAAGAATTTGAAATACATAGATTTGCAATGCCTAGGTATTTCAAATCAATGGATTTTAAATTCTCAAATCCAAATTCATATGTCCAAATGCAACCTTAAGGATTTGAGGTTAGGTCGATTTGAAACTCGGTGACCTAAATCCACTGTCCCATTTGGATGACCAAAAGCTGTCGGGATTTCAAATCTGTGCAAATCCTTCCATGGATCTAATGACCAAAATCTATGAATTTCAATTACACTATTAGATGTTATTTTCCAAATCCATCCTTCAACCTATCAGTTATAACAATTTGTTCACTACTCTTGAATTTCAAATCCTCAAAGCAATTTTGATATCCAAATTAAAAATTCAAAATCCACTATCGAATTCAATGTATTTCTGCTGATGCATGTGGATTTAAACATGTTGCCAGACAGAGTTAATGGCATATCTATAAGCTATTCTGATTATTTCTGTTGTCAGAGGAAAACCTGCAACATTCCTTTGTACTGTGATTGTACAGTATTGATTGAAGGGCAGTGCAGTCCATAAAAGAAAATCAAAGATAGGTTTTCTTAGATTTGTTTTAGCGTTACTATCTGCTGATGCTTTCATGCAACAATGTAATCAGGATGCTGTGTCAATTGCACGAACAGAAGAAGAACCTGAGGCTGCAGCTCAGAAGTTAACGGAGGCTGCTTTCTCACGTGGCAGCGCTGACAATATCACCTGTATTGTCGTAAAGTTTCACCATGAAAAAGCAGATCCAACTCCATTCCAACCCTCCCAGTCCTGGAGCCAGCCCTCCCAATTTCCATCCCCATCTCCGTGTCAGCCCCAGACCTCGACCTCCCAGTCCCAGCCCCACCAGCCCGAGCCTGAGCCTGAGCCCGAGCCCGAGCCCGAGCCCCAGCCCCAGCACCAGCACCAGACTCTGACCTCCCAGTCCTAGCCTGAGACAGAGACCTCCCAGTCCCAGCCCCAGCCCCTGCACCAGCACCAGACCCTAACCTCCCAGTCCCAGCCCGAGATGGAGACCTCCCAGTCCCAGTCCCAGCCCCAGCCCCGGCCCCGGCCCCAGCCCCAGAAACAGAACCAGCCTCATCATGATTAGAGAGAATTCAGTTAAACATTTCACAAGGAATACCAAAAACAGTTTGTTAGTGCAAAGCTTGAGATCTTGACATGCAATGGCTCAGACTGCAAGAGGGAATTTGTTTATTCATTGGTTTGTTTCTAGTTTTGCATTTTTGTTTTTGCTTTGTTGTTTTTATTGAGTGAACATGGGACCTGTAACTTTGTTTATTCCAGCACATGTTTATATATATAGTTCTGCGCTCTTCGTTGCAGTAGAGGTGTTATATCTGGGTAATCTAATTGGTAGTTCAATAAAAACTGATGCTTCTACTTCTTCTATATTGGATTTAGTTGCACATCGTTTGGCTTGGACCAACAATTGACATTATTGATGTGTCTAATAATGCATTGTGGTGTGCTTAATAAGGTTCATGCTTCAATGTTCTTCCAAATTGGAGGCTCATTTGCACGAGACTCGTTAAATGTCAGTAGCGGCTTGCCTGTGGTTTGAATGGTAATCGTCTGTTTCCTTGACCCTCGAAGTTCCTCCCTTGAGGGAGATATTATTCGGTGCTAACTCGAGTGGCATGATATAGTTGGATTGGAGCACCACATGGCACGTATGATGTGGTGCTCTTAGAGAACCGAATAATTCATCCCCTTCAGGTTCGAAAGACTCGAAAACTCCCAGCATCTGCAAGCCTAGTTTCTCACTCGGCTGTTTCTATTTTTTTTTTGGTTACAGGTAATTACACTTTATCCAGACACATTAGTCCAATAATTATATGGCTTGCACAATAACATGCACATCCCTAGTAGTTTCTCCCAAATCCAGCAACAATGGAGAATCATATGCTTGGTATATATGCTATATATTAACGGAAATGGGGTTTGTAATGCGAAGAGCCTTATGAAATTCAACTCTCATATTATTTTTCTACAATTTTTATTTTTTAAATAATTAAAAAATCTTCTATTGGTTAGCTTTTATCGAATTATTAAAAAAAAAAATATCTTATTATGCATTGATTTACACATTTCAAACAGAAAGTTAATTAATTCATTTATAAATTTAAATTTAGAAATTTGACAAGAAAAGTTAATTAATAAGTTTTAAAATTTTAATTTTTTTCTTCTAACTCTTATTGAATCATTTAAAAAAATAAAATTAGTATGCCTTAATTTACACATTTCAAAAAGAAAGTTAATTGATCCATTTAAAAATTTAAATTTAGATATTTGAAAATGATTAGTTTTAAAATTTTGATTTTTGTACCACTAAAATATAGGAATTAATTCATATCTTCTATAGATTATTTCTCTTGATGTTTAATTTTTTTAAATAATTTTAAAAACTTTTATTGACTAACTCTTATTCCCTTATGATTGATAATCCATTTTAAGAACTTACTTCTCTTGCCAAATATTATATATGTTTTTTTAGATAATGTATATCAATACAATAAAAGATCCAAAACTTTTTTCAAACATTGATGATATGTTTGGTTCATGGTTTTGGATAGAAATTTTGAAAGAAAAAATGAAAAGACGTGTGAAATTAGGTAAAATATAATTATATTTCATTAATATTTTATTTATCTTTTTTCTTTCTCATTCTAAATTTCTCCCAAATCCATGAATAAACAAACATGACATAAAGCTGGGTACATATTTTTCATATTGATTTTTTTTTTTTTTTTTTTTGAAAAAAAAAAATTTGTGTACTCCAAACTCTTATCACACGTCTCTCCCTATAATAATGATTGAAATTTATTTTAAATGCCATCTCAAAGATTAGTTATAGAGTCAAAGAAAATGTATAGGTCTTAAAGTTTCAAATAAAAAATTTATGTTAGAATTTTTTCAAATGTAATTCTATTAATATTTATAATTTTTTTTTATTGATTGATAAAAAGCACCGTAAACATTAAGATTATTATTATTATTTTATAATGATAGAGTTATTAAAATATGATGCATTAGAGGCTTAAACCAAGAATTGGTGAATTTTTTTTTTTTTTTACTAGAACTGGATTTTCTAGACTAATTTTTAATATTTAATCCAATTTGGGAAGCCCAAAGTAGCTCATACCAGTAATGAACCGATAAAGATAATTTTTAATAATTAGGTGAAGGTCATATTGGCATAGATATTAAGTTGAGTAACTTCTAGATCACTTTTAATGTTTAGTCCAACAACACAAGTTAATCCTAATTTATTTTCATGTAGTTATGACATACAACAATTTATAATTTTGAATAGACAAATTTTAGGCTGTGTAAAATAAGAAAAAATTAGTGTATTAACAAATGTAATTTACTATTATCATATGGTAAATTAAAATTACGAAACTTATAAAGCGAAATGTATTTATATTTTATTGTAAGTATAATTGTAATCTATTATTTAATTTTTACTAGTTAAATTATGATATGCAGTTTTTTATTAACTTAGAACACATAATTAATGATATCGGAATAAAAATTTCTCTCATGTCTAACTCTAATAAAAATAAATAAAATTTAATTAATTATAAATAATTTTTGCTACATATTTTAAATAAATTTTATATTATTATTTTAATTTAAAAATTAATTTTAAATTATTTATTTATACCGTGCTATGGCTTTGTGGGTAATGTTGGCATCTATTGTGTAAAAAGTTGGTGATGGATTGATGATGAAGAAATATGACAAGGTTTAAAGTGTTGTTGGCTTGAGTGGTAGTAGGGATGTTGGTGGGTCGATTTGGTTCCGTTTGGTATTAATTTTGAAACTAATTTACTTATGATGGATTTTAAATTTTTGGACGTAGAATCAAACTAATCATGTATTAAAACCAATCCAATGTAGGTCGAGTTGATTCGGTTTAAAACCATGATTTCATTATATTAAAAATAATTGAATCAACATTTTCTTCTGATTTGTTTACCTTTGATTTTGTATTAATATTTTCTTCTTCTTCCAAGTGCTTTAAAAATTTAGACTGAAGAGACTTCACATATTCACCACAACTACTATAATTGGGTTTATCAACTTCCATTTCATTTCAACTTTGACTCATTCTGTTTAAAGAAGAACTTGAAGCAAAGTCTAGCATTTCATAATGTACATACATACGGTTCATGAGTTCTCTTATTCTTCACACTAAATCATTTACCTTGTTAGACGACTAAATCATTTAACTTGCAGTAGAGTCTATTACTCTTAGACCAATAATTCAAAATTTGTTCAATTGCACAAACTTCGTGAAAATAGAAATTTGAAGTAACATACAAGACTATAGAAATATAAAGACGTGTCAATATAAAAACAAATTAAATATATATATATACACTACGGGTGGATATCGGCCCGTTGGCCCGCCTAACCTGCTTGGCGTAGTCTTATTTTTCTAGAGCTTGGGAAGGTTGTTTTAGCCTATAGGGCCGGGCTAAGCCAACATTTTTAACTCGAAATATTAATGGGCTCACCTTGAGATTTATACTTTCAACCCAGCTCGGTCTGCTATTAAATTAATTAATTAATTATTTATTTATTTATTTATAATACATTAATATATTTTTTGTTGGAATTTATATTTTATTTTGTTAATTTGATTGAAACTCACATTTGTGGTGATGTGTAATTGAATTTATTTAAGAAATTCTTCAATTTATACAAAATCTTTCAATTTATAATGATATTAATATATTTATTTAAGAAATATAATGTGTTATTGAATTTAATTATGAAATGTTTTAAAGTTGTTTTTAACATGTAGGCCAATGAATAGGTTTGAAATTTATAATTACTTTTTGGACCAGGCTTGGGTAGATATAGAGGCCCAATATTATTGGGCCGTGCTTGGACAGATACAAAATTCCTTATTATATAGTGCCGGCCCAGCCCAAACTCGGCGTGTCCCAACATTTGTCCACCCCTAATATATACATATATAGGTTTGGTTCTTGGGTTGGTTTGGTTTGGTTTAGACAATACCTAAATCAAGAACTAACTCAATACTATCAGTTTTAGAATGTGAAGATCTAGAACCAAACTAATACACTAAAAACCCAACCTAACCCAACCCAACACAAAAATATCGATTTGATTCGATTTTCCCATTCTCTGAATATTTTGAACAATCATAAGTGGAAGTGTGTTATTTAATTGTGAATATGCCATTGTCTATGAAAAAAACAAAAAACATGCTAATGTGAACTCTCTATTTTGTTATGGGCAGTAGTAACAACTTAAAATCAAAGAGTTACTTTTTTGTTTTATATATTTATTTTGATTATTAGTTATTATTTTTCAATTAAAGATACGTAAAGTTGAAATCATAAAAATCATTCCACGAACTAAAATAAAAACCATATTGCAACATATAAAAAATTTAGAAGAAATATTTTTAACCCTACCCTGATATAAAATTATAATTTCGTTAACAAACAGGTACAATAATTTTATATGTTATCTCTACTATTTTAAAAAGCGGAAGAGTCCTGATGTTTTTTATACTTTGCTTTCAACAAATGCCCTTAATAACATTTCCATTAGGCAACAATACTCTGTTTCAAAGATGCAGCTATTCGATTCAAGAAAAGATATGTTGGTAACAACTCTCTAAAACCAAAATGGCTTAGTTACTAAACAACAACAACATCCTTTGGAAATAGAGAGGAGTTCTACTATTGGCGAATTTTTTCTCATCACAAAAAGTATGTACCCACAAATAAATCTTTTATCATCTATAATGCCATTTAAGAAAGAAATATATGAGACTCTAATCTTATTCAAAGCGGGAAGGTTGCCTGTAATTTTTGTTTCATTTGGTGAAAGGAATTAATAGTGTTTGATTCACTTGAATGAAGATAGAACGATCATTCCATTAGAATGTCCATTGTCATGTTTGGTTCAGTAAAAAATGATGACAATACATTATAAATAGAATTATCATTTACCAATGCAAGTAAATGGTCATTTCACAAGGAGGCTAAGAAATTAGCATTCAATTTCATTTCACTTTCATTCTAATAAATCAATGTTGGGGATTTTCTAAAATAATATGAGTTTACTTTTTATTGTTTTTCAAAACCTTCCTTATTCCTTTGGAAAGGTTTTTTTAGCTTTGTAGCTTGTCCTATATCGAAAACATGAGAAAAGAGATGGATTAATAAACACCCACATGGAACATTCCTTTGAATAAGAAAATTGTGGGAAAGGTGCTAGAGTGTATACTCACACATTGCAAAGCACACTCATGCGTAGTGTGGGCAGTAGGTTGTGTGGCGTTTGATGGCACACTTTGCACTTAGCACATGCACCATGGAGGC